ATCAAAAGTAAATTTCTCTTATAAAATGTACTTAAAGTAAGAGTATTAAGTAAAAGTAAATGGTTAGAATTTCCAAAACAACATTTATTGGGCGCAATATCCAGCGACAAAAACTTTGAAAGTTTGAACTGAACAATGAAAGATTGCTCTTTAAAAAGTCTGATTCTAACAAAGTATCATTCAACCTTTATTAACCTTTATTAACAAAGCTGTTAGAAAGTCCACATTGTTGTGTAGTTGGTTTGTTTACTCGTTCTGTTTGGTTATGGCTTGTTTCTTTCTGACTAATTAATAATATAGAATAATATAAGAGCATAGGAACTATGCTCTTGAAGCAGTTCATGTCCTGGAGAACACCAAACTTCTTCTTTTTAGCAGCTACCGTCATTTTCACGCCGATCATGAATGTGTCTCCACTGTGAGTCAACAAAGCTCTACATGTATAGTAACGACTGATACCTGCATCGAGCTCGTTCACAGCGGGAGCTGCAGGTTTCACACAGCGGTGGGGGAGAGGCTGGGTTTGTAATTGAGAGTGTCAGGGAGAGAGAAGTGGCCGCATGAAGTCACAGTCTGGGAGAACAAACATTGCCCAATCAGATTTCTTCTCATTTTAAATTGTACATTTAAATTGTATCTTTAAAATAAGTCCAGCCGCTGCTCCAGTCCGAGAAATTGCAAATGGTGGATCATTGTTTTGAAAAGTTTCTGAAGGATCCAGTGACTCCGCCCCCGACCAACCAGTGACCGACAGTGTTCTGATGTCACGTTTTAGTACCTCTTCGTTCGGGTTAGAACCACAGAGCCAAGGGTACTGAAAATAGTAACAGGTGCTAAGTACCGGTACTAATGGAAAAGCCTCAGAACCGAGCCAAGTAGGGTCCAGTCGGCCCGTACCGGTACTAATGGAAGGGGCATAAGATGGTTAAGGGAAATGTATTGAAGTAAAAGTGAAAGTCGCTTGAAATGTAAATAACGAAGTAAAGTAAAAATATGCCAAAATTCTACTTAAGTACAGTAACAAAGTATTTCTACTTTGTTACATTACAACACTGCTGCTGGGAGGAGTGACCATTGCTCAGGGAGGGATTCGACCCGGCATTTGGGCAGGAGGACCGAGAGACCCGCCGGATCTGACAGCAAGTTGGATCCTGGTGGACGGATCGGCATCTGTGTATTCTTCAGATTTGCTGCAGGAGATCCTTTCTGCCCACAGCTATCAGCATCTATAACAACTCTTGAATGATACCAGGATGAGATACAACAACACTTAATTTCCCTTTGGGATTATTAAAGTAGTTTTGAATTGAATTGAATGTGGATATGATAGAAATCATCAAGCCTCTGTCTCATTGAGAGGATGAGCTCCTCGTTCCTAAAGATTCTCTCAGCCGTGCTGTCTGTGTGGGTGTCTGTAATAAAATCACACCACTCAGTCCACTGACGGCCAACTGACCTTGAACCTGATAATAGTATTTGTGTGTCTTCTTTAGGCAGGCCTTGCTTTTAACAGTGAGGTGTTTCACATTTTCCACATCGCAACACTTTACCTCAGCTAACCCAAATGGTGTTTCTTTTGAGTTGAAGACTTTCGCATCGGGGCTGGCTCCAAGGTGAGGCGCATCAGGGACCCACATGGCATTACAGAGACGTCATACAAATCTGAATACTGTCTCAGTACTTCAGGTTCCACATCCAATCCCCTTTTCATAGCGGCTGTCTGGGGAGTTCCTCTCAGTGCCCGAATACTGCCCGCGCTCATGGCGTAGTTCACTGAACCTGCTGGCTGCAAGTCGGGGCTTGCGTACCTCAGTCCACCTGTCATTCTGACTGTTGTCTCGTTTCTTCTTCAATAGCAGCACAGATCTCGGGTGTTACCTTCAGGCTCTCCAAATGGCAGTGTTGCTTGTAGTTGGGCTCAAATTGAAGTGGAAATGTAAAGTTGTATCTGGCAACAGGTAACAGAAGGAACTCATGGGCACCTGGATGTTTAATTATGTCTCTACTTATTTCAGGAGGGCACTGGTAGGAAAGCACAGATCCAAATGGCACAGGGACAAATTTAGAGTCCGTCAAAGTAAGTGTTTCAAGTCCATGCAACGACTTGCAGAATCCCTGGTTGTGGACGTGTGTCTTTCAGTTTCTCCCCGCTCGCCATGACGTGAGGATCTGGAAGTGGACCTGCCGAGTGAGGTACAAGGATTTGTAGCCTTTGTCCAGTTTTGAACGTGTTGCCAAAGAAAATGTATCGACAAGTTGTGATATATCTTCAGATCGTATTTGTGGCAGATGTAGTAGTGACTGTGTAAACTCCATACGCCGCGTTGAGTCAGAGCAGACGTCACGTGAAAAGGATCTGTACCCTTCCATTTAATGACAGCTCTCTCATTAGCCACATAATAAAGCTGATTGTTATTTGTACTATAATGGGGCCAAAGTTTGAACTACTACATTTTGATTTTTCTCACTCCTAAGTATGTGAATTTCTCTTTAACAGGAATACCATTAATTTCTGTTAGTGTGCAGTCTTTTAGTGGGAACAGAACAGATTTATTAAGGTGACTCCTGCCTGTGCCCTGTCCCCGGCGTGATGTCATCCGCCTTTGTTAATCATCAACCGTGTGCTCAGGTGTGTTCTTGACTTGTTTCTTTGTTTACATATTTTGTCATACCTGTGTGGCTTGAACGTGTGTCAGGGGAATTTACTTTGTAGGTAAAGGTCATGGATGTTATCACTTACTGATGTTAAAGTAATGTAGAACTGTGTGTGTGAGTTCGAGTTGTTTTGTCTGAATAAGAGAAAACTGCAGGAGCACGGAGCATGTGCACCTGATTAACTCCGACTCCTCTAAACTGGAAAACAGAGGTGTTTTGACCTCGTTTCTGTCGGATAAACTTTATAAAAAGATGCTTTTTTATGCTGGCTGTGGGCAAACCTTGTGACCGGAGCTTCAATGTAACAGCTTGTGTAATTGTGTGTTCACTCCACCCCCCTGCAAGGAGTTAAACTGGATCGAAAAATCTCGTATCCTCAGAGCGGCTTATTTGAGTAATGAGTTGATGATTAAATTATCCAACAACGTGAAAAATAAAAGCATAACCATCATATTCTATGACAGCTAAGAGCACTTGGGACTGTAATGTTGGACTTTAAAGCTTTCCAACATTAATCTTGATGACAAACATGTTTTTTCTTTACATGAACTTTTAGTCTTAAAAACATCTCCAGATGAGGATGCATTTAGTAAAAAAATATATATATATTAAACAAAAGTAATTTTATCACTCTTTTGTGGCTGCTGACTCAGTAAGAGAATCTAACAGGAAAAAAGTTATTTTATATTAGTTTAGATAAAACGTACGTAACATCATTTCAGAGTGATAGTTTTAATTTAGTTGTGTGTTTCTCTTTTTCGCATGATACATTGTGGAAGAATAAACATTTTTCTCAAAGTTTCAGTGAGGAAAAAAGAAAACGTGACTCTATATGTGATGCACTCATTTTCTATCGCTCTTGGCTGCATCTAAATAAAACAGCGTTTAAAGCTGTCTGCAGTGCATCAGCCTTAATGACTATGATGGATGGTTTCATTGCAGGAATTTTATTCGTCTTTCGCTTCACAATAAAAGCACCAGATTCTTCGCTTTATTCTTTAAGCTGTGAAACAGGCACAGTTACGCCAACGGAGTCCTGAAAAATAACAAACGACACAGACGGCAGCCATCGTGCTCTTTTAAAGGCGAAACGCTCGAGTTATTAAACTTGTCTGATAACGGACACGGAGTGGGAACGTTTTAGGATTCCTTCAACTTTTGACTTCCGTGCCACCATTAACAACTTTTAAAGTTTATCTGGACTTTTGGACATTAACATCTCAGAACCTCTCTGCTGTAGTTTACATTCCGACCTCTAATGAACCATTGAGTCTTTCTTAAAAGCAACTATGAACTGTCTAATACCATCGTTCACGCTTACCGTGGTCAAAGATTCAAATAATACCCAGAATACACAGTTCTGCATTTTAATGGAGTCAATACAGAGTGCATTTAGACAAACCAGCAGAGTCCAACTCAAAATACAACTGGTGACGGTATAACAATGTCAAGATAGAAAGATGCTCCCGATATTGGTGCCGCATGATATTAGCAATGTGTTTATAAGAACCAGTATAGTTTAAATAAGGCGACAACCAATATGTAGTCAACCTTAAAAACGTTTACATTCTCAAAACCATAAATGTGTCACGGTTCTCCACGAGATACAAAAATACTTCATATTTTTAGACGCTTGCTCCGATGGTTTGTTGGTCCCAGATAGTTTAACATCAATGTTACAGATGACAAATACCCAACAACTTTATTTGTACACCAATCTGAACAGACTCGACTGAAACAGCTGCGACCAATCGTTTAATGGGGTCAGTAACTTTTTTTAATCAAAACCTGTGTCAACATTTTCAGCAGGTCAAGCTAGCTTTTGGTCCAGCTGAGCCCAGAAAAGACCACTTTTCATATTTCCTAACCACTACAGATGAAAATTATTGCACAAAATCTGTAGTTTTGGAGAAGCCGTGTTCATTAAATCCCACACTAGTTGATACTTTAAGGTCATTTCCTCCCACTCTCCACATATCAGTGGCTATAGTGGCTCATCTCTTATGACTATGGGGACTATCTGGTCGTGTCCACGGACAAACTCAATGCCTTCGTCGGCCTTCCTCATGCATATGTATTATGATGTCATCAGTATGCTGCTATTTCTGTGCTGAGGTTGTTTTTTTTTTTTTTTTCATCTTGCACACTGTGTCCCATCTAGGACATAGTGTTAGATATGATTTGTTTTGCACCTCCCCTTCCCTCGTGTTTCTCTTTTCTTTATCTAAATGAAAAGGGCAGAGCCTCCCACGAGGTCGCGGTCTCAGACACCTCCGTCTACCCATGTCTGTTTGTGTTTTTACTTGGACGGGCTGTACTGAAGTGTAATTTCGTTGTGCTTCGGTGCAATGACAATAAAGCTGATTCTGATTCTGATAATGTTACGGCTGATGAGCGTACCCACCAGGTAAATAAGAGAAACTCTTCGTCTTTGTCTTTGTTAGTCTGTAGATATATCAAAGAGAACAACATTTCAGTTGTTCCAGATTCAGTCCAAATCTAAGGCTGGAGTCCACCTCATCACCACGGTGCTGTGACAAAATCATTGCATAAAAACTCAAACAAACACGATACATCAAATAAAAAACACAAATAAGCATTTCCACTGGTATAAATAAAAACCAAGTGCACGTTTTATAAAGATATATGTTTGCCGTACTTTTCGCGGGAGCAGGTCATGGTGAACACAGGTCGTCGGATAGTTTAGGGTTCAGGAAAGTCATTATCTCCCGTATGCCGTCTTCACACACTGCGGTCCCAGAAGATGTACTCAGGTTTTTTCCCTCTTCTTTAAATTTTCTCCATGTTTCTGAAAATAAAAATGAATTAATGAGAATCAGGTGCACAAGCACACACAAAAAGCAAAGTAATGGTGAAGAAATATTACTTTAGGATGTCAGTACAGACAACAGATGCTCTATTTGTCACAGCTCAAAAAACAGTTTATATTTGTCTCTTTAAGAGAAAGAAACCAAGATGTTTTTCACGAAGCTGTCATTTTAAGTGCAAAAGGAGCCGTATCTCAATAAACCGCCAGCAATTTGTTACACTAAAAATACACGAGAAGATAAACCTCGATATGCAGCACGACAGTTCAGCCTTTAATGGTGATGCAGTGTGATTCAACCAGTGAGGACCCCTCAGAGCCTTCTGTGCCATCAGAGAAGGCCTATAAATTCAGTACATGTGAAATGTTACATTCAAGAGTTAATTTTAAAATTATTTTATAGACGGCACATTGGTGCAGTGGTAGAGCTGCGAGAAGGTTGCCTGATTGATTGCCCACCCGGGGCCTTTCTAGGTGGAGTTTGCATGTTCTCTCCGTGGATGCGTGGGTTTTCTCCAGATACTCCGGTTTCCTCCCACAAACAAAAAACATGCATGTTAGACTGATTGGTGACTCTAAATTGTCCCTAGGTGAGTGAGAGAGTAAATGGTTGTTTGTTTTGTTTGTCTCTATGTGTCCCTGTGATGGACTGGTTTACCCCTTTTTATTTTAATTTTCCTTATTTATCTTATTTTCTGTAAACTACTTTGCAGTGAGCAAGATACGTTTTACAGTAGTCCCTCATTACTTCACGTTTCATTTTTCGCGGACTCGCTCTATCGCGGCGTTTCAAAGTAAAGATTGGACATGACACACAATTAATTGGCTGATTGATAGATGAGCCGCACGATCGGCATGGAATTTTTATTTAAAATAAATCATTTAAAATTATTTAGCACCTGCTGTCCACAGCTGAAGGAGAAGCTTCCTCCTGCACCACGTCAGATCTCCGCTGTGCAGCGGAGAAGTGGGCGTGGCCGAGAGCGCTGGCAGATGGCAGCCGGTGGCAGAGAGCTGAGATCATGACATGCTGTTTTAGTGTTTAGAGTTTAGAAAATTGTTAGGGACATTGCAAGAGTGTGGGAAGGGTTTAAAACGCCTTAATATGTATATAAATACTAAAATAAACTACTATTTGCGTGTGTAATTTTTTTCCATCTCTTGTACCACATGAGATGGTAATGACAATAAAGTTTACTTGAACTTGGACTACTGTATCCTTCGTGATTTTTCATTTATCGGGGGAGGCACTGTATTTCATGAAAACCCAGTTATCCAATCAGATTCATTTAAGTTCTTGTCTCCAGGCAGAAACACATTTGAAGCTTCTTTCTCATTGGTCAGGACTTCACTGCCAAGAGAGAAGGCTGAGCTCAGTCAGAGTCTCTGCAGGGTGAGTTTGTTTAATAACTGACAGGAAAATTAACCAATCAGAATGCTGATGTAGAGTGGGTGGGAACAAAACACAGCTCTGAACCTTCAGGAAGGCCCTGCAGGTGTTTATTTTATTTTATTATTATTATTATTATTATTAGCACGTGAAGATTTGTGATGCATTTAATTGCAATCTGTAAATTCAAAAATTCACACAGAAAATGTAGTTGTTCTAAAAAAAATGAACATTAAATATAAAATTTATGTTTATGTTGATCATTTTCAATATTTAAGTTGTGTTTTAGATTCATTAAATGATGAAATTTTGCATAAACTGTAAGCTCTGTGGATTACTGTTAATTTTCACTCTGAATTCATGAAATTGCATGTTGTACTTTAACACCAGAGACTGGATGAGCTGCATGGCATGCTGGGTAGTCTTGGGACAGAAATGGGTGCACCTTTTTCAGGTTATGTGTTGAGATGGGTTGCCGGTGATGCTTGTTCTGTTTAGTGTTTGGTTTGCATTTGTATTCCGGTTGTCATTAGCGACTTTTAAAAAAGACACTACTGGTATACGACATTTGACGGTTGTACCTGATGGACAAAATGAGGAAAATAATTTCTTTTCAGCGAGTTCTTGGGTTATCAAACTGAGGAAAGTGGCGTTAGTAAACTGGAACTCCATAATGACTTCAACATCAGCGTGTTATGGATTATTACAATGTTGTTTCCTGACTGAACGTCAATCACTTAAAATCACAGCTCAGAGTTTAAAGCAGAAGGAACAGAACAAAGAATAAAATGAAGTCAGAAGCCCCTGCAGCCGCTCTGAACCGAAAATATAAAACTACCGTGTTTTCCGGTGTGTAAATTGCAGTTTTTTGTATAGATTTGTCAGTCCTGCGACTTATACGTTTTTATTTTCCATATTCATAACGCAATTTTTGACTGACACTTTATATTTCGAAGAACTGCAACAGCAAGTGCTCCAGTGCACGCTCGATTCACTCAGCTGGAGAGCTAGTGTACTGGTTATAAAATTGTTTCAGTTAAAAAAGGACAAAAAAAAACATTAAGAAAAATAATATTGTTTTGTATTATTTGGCCAAAATTGTATTTGGTTCATGGTAATATGTGGGAAATGGAAAAAAAACACCATAATTCATTCCTCAGTTGAAGTAAAATTCATGAGAATAAGATGCACTGATTGCTGATTTAGCGATCTATGATAGATTTTTCTGGTCTTGCAGTTCAAAGGTCACAGAATGATGCAGTAGAATAATAAAACATTTTAAATGCATTTTCTTTAATGTTACTTTTCTAACTATAATTGTTTATAGATTTTAGAGAATGATACAATTTCAAAGTTTACGTTTTGAGAGTTTTATTTACCCATCGTGTCTCGATTAGTTATGTCTAAACTAACACAGGTGAAATGTGTTGCTTCTGCTCGCCCATTGCAACACTGGATGTGACAGAAGTAACACCGTGTCTTTGTCTGTTTCACCTTTTCCCTTTACAGGGGTATAACACTAGTGACTCCGGCCGCGATGGGTGGGTGGAAGGAAGGATGGATGGATGGATGGATGGATGGAT